GAGCAGCTTAAGATTAATTAAGATTTGTTTTCTTCTCCACCGTGAGCCTGTTAAAAGCGTAACTCTATTTTGCGGCCTGGATAACTTATTTAGTATATTTTTCTTGAGTTGGGAATGTTGGCAGACATCCACTGAGTGAGTAGTGTGTGTGTGTGTGGGGGGGGGGGGGTGGGTGGGTAGGTGAGTATGGGTGTGGGTGAGTGAGTATGTATGTGGGTGGGTGAGTTTGTTTGTGTGATAGAGGGTGAGTATGTTTGTGTGATGGAGGGGGCAGGGAGGGGGCAGGGAGGGGGCAGGATTGTTTTAGTAAAATTACCTCCAGAATTGTTTAAGTTTTTTGTTGTTGTAATATATAAGTGAATAATATTTACAATTGACATATTATGTTTAGGTACTTATACGTTTACTTTGTTGCTAAGTTATATTATACTGCAAATAAGTTTGTGTTTAATTATGTTTATGTAAAAGCATCAATATTGAACACGTTTATTTTATTCAATTGTATGTTATGGTTTGTATCAACTGAGCGAATGTGCCCCCTAGCATGTAGGGGAAATTTAATTTTCATTTGGAAGAAATTATTCGCCACGCTATATAAAATTGAGCGATTGGGGACCGCACATTAATATGTCATTATAATGATTAGAATTCAGTGCTTTACAGAGAAATGGTTCAAACAATACTTTTGTGTAAACAAATAAATAATACTTTTTGCGTAAAACAAGACTCGACTCATCATCGAAATGATAACAATCTTAAATAGAGACTTCCTTTCACAATAATTCTTGTCATTCATGTCGCTTTGTGAAATGAATGCATGATTCACAGTAATAGACACGTTGAAACAATAGTATCCATGGTGTCAATTTCTTCGTGAGGAAATACTAAACTGGCCCAAACAGATCAAATTTTAGCGGTTAAACGGTGACAACATCATCATAACGAGAAACAATTGATATCATGTTGCCTTATTAAATTCGCACCCGTCCAATACCTGTAACTGAATTCCTTTCTAATCGACTTCATATTTACGTTTGCCTTTAAAACCATGCAACAAGCGTGAGTTAAGATGTCAATGCTTAAAAAATAATTATACGAAATAATTTCTCATGATTATCTACTTACCACTGTGTCTGATAGAAAAAAATCCACCAGGTACCGACAAGAAGTTGTCAAATGCCTATTCCTCTTAAATCCTTTGCTCTATGGAAAACACAGTCCACGTGAGTAAACGTTAGTATTCCTTTTAAATCTGTGTGTGATTTCGGAAGAGAGTAAAGCTCAAAGATTTTTCTCGTTGTCTCTCACACTCTGTTCCTCGGTATGAAATATTGACGCATTAAGAGCAGTAAAATTAAGTTAAGTACGAAAGTTGACTTCCTCTTATGCTAAGCCGACGTATTATGTGATTGTGATCTTCCAAGCAGTCTTCAAGCAGTCGTCTCTATAAGCACAAGTCAACCATCAACATCCACTTCCAATTCAATAATTGACAAGCGGTTCGCTGCTATTTCTGGCCTATCATTAAGCTATATTTCCACATTGTTTGATGAACGCGCGTTTTACCGTCAGTCAGTCTTTGAACTTTATTTAGCTATTATGAATAAACTGCTTGTGATGCGGAGTGTAAAAATGTTTTGGTATCGGGTGAAACTATAAGCTGAAATCATTGGATTGGTTCCGGTATTGAAGCTGACGATCTTCCCGGGCTCAGTTCCTCTGATAATAATGGACTTCAGTTACAGAGATGTGTCACATATCCGGACCTTATCAACACCCATGCATGCATTGTCAAAGTGAATCATACCGTTTTTCGGACTAAACCCCCACCCCCCTTTAGTCTATATTTATTGTAATTGTTACTGTTTTGGCTGAGATAACCAAGGTTGCACACAATCATTGGTGAGATCGTTCTCAGACCGACTGTCTGATGCACCGATATACAGTATTTAAACTTTGGGGGTTTCCTCATAATGACGACAGTGGTGTAGCACAAACGTTGCACCCAAAGCATACAGTGGTAAAACAGAAACAGAAACAGAAACAGGGGGAGAGCGAGAGAGAGAAAGAGAGAGAGAGAGAGAGAGAGAGAGAGAGGGGGGGGGGGGGATGGGGAAGTACTGTAGGAATTGTTGAAGAGACAGTCAAGAGATACAACTTAATTGCTAAAAGACCTTTCCTCGCATTCCTCGTGTGTGTGTGTGTGTGTCACCCCCTTGATCTAAATCACCCTCTCGGATTGCCACTGGATAACGACATAAAAGCTCAGACGTTGAAGGAATCAATGTGATGCGATGTTTCATCGTCACTGTCATTACCACCATTACATTCCTCACCCTCAACATCGCCATAATCATTATCGTCACCCTCAACATCACTACCATCCACCTCCTCCTCATCATCACCACAATCCCATCATCGTCACCATCATCATCCCATCACCACCACCACCACCATCATCATCATCATCATCATCATATCACCATCATTATCACTAATATCATTGTTATCATCATCTCATCATCATCATCATCATTACCACTATCATCATCGTCATCATTGTTGTTATCATCATCTCTTCATCAATATCTAAATTATCATTATCATTATCATCATCATTACCATCATCATCATCAATAATTTTTAATTATCATCATCATTATCATCATCATCATCATCATCATCATTGTTATTATCATCATCACTACTGGGCAATATCTTCATTATCATTACCATCAACACTGCTTAGCATCGTGAACATTGGAATAATCTCACTTTTTGTATAGCAACAAAACTAACTTCTGACCAGAGGCATTGAATAGGCATTGCATTTGACATTAATCATATGGGCTGTTTACAAACAAAATTATTCAGCTGCTTTTAATATTTCACACAACTCATTTATGTATAATTTAATGCATGAATGATAATTTTCTTAAAGAAATGGTACTTATATACTACTGATAGAAAGTTGCATTAACTCTACTGGGCTAATCAGTTTTTAGTTTAACTGCCAGGAAAAGTCCATAACTACCATCAGCGTTGTCAGGAAAAGTATGCAATTATTTCAAGATTGGTGTGTTGTTTTAATCAGTTACAAATTATTGGCCGAAATTAGGTTGCTGTGTCATGAATGAAATACCTTAATCTATTTCCATTCCGTCTTTTAGTACTCGCCAATCATCACCGAGGGAGCAAAGAACCACACAATCTTGATTCTCGGTATTATTAGCATAAGGACCTTCAATAATCCTTGAGCAGTCTTCAATACATATTATTAAGGTTTTTGTATTATTCACACCTAAAGCGTGGTGTCGTGATCGAGTGGATATGGCACCGGACTGTCGATCACAAGGTCCGCGGTTTGAGTCCCACCGCGGCACTAATGTCCTTTGCAAGACATTGATCTACAATTGCCACAATCAACCCAGGTGATGTAAATGGATACCTAGCTGGCAGGAATTAATTCCTTGAAATGCTTGAGTTATACAAGAATCCAATATTATTAGTAGTAAGTGGTTACGGTATCGTGACCACTTACTACTTATAATATTGGGCAATGTGAATGAGAGAATTTCGTAATCATTCTTTCCACATCCTCACTATTTCATTCCTTTTTACTATTTATACTTCTTTTTTAAAACTATAAATTGCATGGTTTTTAACAACATGTATTTCCACATTTTGGTAACCATTGTATTTTCTTGTTGTTTTTTCTTTTTTTTCTTCTTTATCGTTCTCCTTCGTTCTTCCCAGTCTTCAATACATATTATTAAGGTTTTTGTATTATCCACTCATCGGTTTCTTTATGACTTCGTGCTATTAACAGAAAATAGTATCAGTGGTTAACATTGATGACTAACGGTTAAGACACATGACATTCATGGTATTGGAAACAAATTATGAGTCACGCTTGAGACAATTTTATGCACATTATGACGCAAATAACATGATTCCATCGTGGTGGACACGTTGCTTCAAAGCCTACAAATTTACATGTAATTTGTCTGACTGCAGTTATTTTAACTTAGGTTAAAATGGAAAGTGATTGGAAAGGAAGAACATCAAACATGGATAGTCATCCTTTTTATTATTTTCCTTTAAATTGATATACGATATAGTCACAGATTAATAGGGATGGCATCGAGATGACTGGGGGGGGGGGGGGGGGAAGGGGTGAGCTTTTGGCAAAGTTTGAGATAAAATTCTGATACGCATGCTGTCAGGATCGGCGTTTGGTATATTAGGGATGAGGGGAAAACTGGAAACTGCCGGAGGGCATTTTGCTATCCGGCTCTTAGTCAACGATAATTATAGTGTTTACATATTTAAAAAAAAAAAATATTTATAAGAATATTACTAGTAGACGCACTTCTTTAATTATTTCCTCCCATCTATCTCCCTCCCTCTCTCTCTCTCTCTCTCTCTCTCTCTCTCTCTCTCTCTCTCTCTCTCTATCTCTCCCGCACATGAGACCCAGTATTTCTCCTCTCTCGATCGTCCGACTCCCTTTTTAGTCTAGTAGGCCTATCAATGTGCCAAACTGAGATGTATAATGGTACTATATAGGAGGTCGAGGACTGAACTGGGGTCCAGATAGCAATCACAGATTGCAGGATAACTCTTTGACGTTCTTGGAGAAAGTTAGAAGAACGTCTATATATATTAAATAATAAACTATTAGACACCTTTAGTGCTACCTGCCTCCTTTTTTTTTCTCATCTTTTGTTATTTGATTATTCTTATCATTAAAAATTAAAAGCAAACAATCATATAACAACAACAATTCTTACACCCCCCCCCCAAATCCCTCTCAATAAAATCGACTGAACGATGATTCAGTTTACAGCTAGCTAGAGTAGAGGACGCTATTTATTTTCACAACGGGAAATCCTTCTTCTTCTGATCTGGGCCTATGGGATATACTCCCAGCCTTTGCTCCCAGCTCGCGCTCAGCATGCAACGTACGTGCGTTCCGTAAGTTAAGGAATTGAACCAAGCGAGGAGGAAATCCTGAAATCAATCCGAGAATGAGTCTTGTGTAGAAAAAAATGATACGGTATACTTGTAGTTATCAAAAGACGGAAAATACAATGTAGATATTCGGAGGTAAGTACACACTGTGATGTAAAAGTAGTATACTTTGGTGCCAAATATGATTAGAGTGGGTTTGATTACAGCTAATGAAAGAACTTGTAAATTTGAGCGTAATATTTTGTACATGTCCCACTTGCTTGTTTTTACGTTTGTTAATAATGTCACGCCCTTGTTTAATAAGGAAAGAGTTCCTTTTGTAACCCCCATAAAATTGCGTTATTTTGCTCTTAAGCCGAACACTAACCCTAACCCTAACCCTAATTAGGTCCCGCTTACCCTAGGACACCGGGTCTCGCTTACCCTAGGACACCGGGTCCCGCTTACCCTAGGACACCAGAGTCTGTATCACCCTAACACTAACCCTAACCCTAACCCTAATTACGTCCCGGTTACCCTAGGACACCGGGTCCCGCCTATGACTACAATTATGTCATATGTCATATGTCATATATGTATGTATTAAACATGCAAAAAATATCAAATAAATTGTTTAAAGTTCTTTTCCATGTTTTAAATACTATATTAATAGTTATATCATCCCAAGTCATACCCAGTTTTTTTTTCTCAATTTCGGGGGGGGGGGGGGGTACAAAAGGAACTCTTACCGATAAAAGATTTTATAAACCTTTTATTCGATACCTTTATAGTATTTTGTTTAAGGTCTACTGGAGACTTGATGGCTTTAAATTTGGCACCGGCATATTTGATTCATGTCATTGTCAAATTTGTAACTTGCAATTTGTAGACCTAATATTGTCTCGATGATTAGCAATATGTCCTGTTGACAGTTTCACTTTTAAACATCATTACAATGCGTATAAAATGTGTCGCACTTCCTTCTTCTACTTTCTAGGCCTCCTCAAAATGAGATAGTTTTACAAATGAGCTTCCATGATCATCATAATATTAGATATTTGTTTAGAACCCAATTTTTGATGTTTAATTTTATTATTATTATTATTTTTTAACAAAATGACTTATAGAAAATCGTTTTAAAACGTGTATTCCACATTTCCATTAAATTTGTAATTTTGTATGAAGTGCTTTAATAAATGTACAGTGCTAAAAGAAGAAAACAATGAAAATTATGTATAAAGACTATATTTCATTCAATTCCATTTAATAAATTATATTTTTTGTGTATTTCTTTCTTGTTTAAAGATGTGATCCATGGATAGAAGGATTGAAGGCTATTCTTAGACAAGTATCATCAAACTTCTCCATCGCTCAGCGTGTGAACTACTTGCTGGCTAATGACGTCTATCAAGTATTTTATCAGCCACTGTTTAGCCCTCCCCTTCCGAGCCATGACGTCCCTGAAAGATAGGTGCAAGCTACAGATCATCTCCATCTTAGATGGTATAGTTCTGTTTGCTGCAGTATGTATGGGTCTCTACACCTGCTGGCAGCTGACTGGGGATTCAACCATCGTCCTCCTCACTGGATTTGGTCTGCTCATCTTTGCTCTTTCCGCTATCCTCTACTACTACTTCGATCTCGTTGACTACACCCTTAGCTTCACCCACCTCTGGTATGGTTGCCTTCTTGGAATCATCTCCTTCATGGATGTTGGTCTCAATGAGGCGGCTCCTATCACCAAAGCCACGAACGGTCTTCTTGCGAGCAGTCTTGTTCTAAAGATGATCTGGTCATTCTCAGAGAGAGCTTGCGGCCAGACTGGCTACACATCCCGTCTCCTCACCACCGTTGAGAAATACGAATGTATTGGTTTCAGTATTGCATGCATGATCAAATCCACCTATATGGTCAGCCTGTGGTTACTGGTCATCGCATTTGCATTCACCATCGCATCTCTGCGTCTGAAAGTAGCTTGTGCCATCCCAATCCTCGTATTGTTTGTAACCTTGTCAGCCACCTTTTTTTTTCATGCCATAGAGGTTCCGATTAATCCATTTGCACTGAGTTGCTTTGCTGGTAGATTGCTCATCGATCCTGTACTAGACCTATACTTCTGTGGGTTATCAGTCTTGGAGAGATGGAACTGTCTCATTAATCGCAGTCACCTTATTCACAGACTACTCCTGCTTCTTGCCATAGCTTTTGAAGTTCTTTTCCTGATACTAGCAGGGGAAGCCACTCTGACTCATGAAGAATGGTACTTTGCTATCCCTGCGTATGCTGTCTTTGGCATCTTGTGGATCAGTCTTCACGTCGTGTTTGTGATCACCACCTGGGGCTTCATCGGCAAACTGAGAGAGTGCAACCGCGCTTACCACGCTGTCAGCGAAGAAACGAATAAGAGTTTGAGTGTGATCATGGCCTCTAAAGGACTGCGCTTCTTCACAACCATATCACGACGATTGGTGGCATCAGCCCTTCTGAGCACACTGTTTCTGGGTGCAGTGATGTGGCAGAATCACAATGCAGCATTCATGGCTGGCTGGCTTATTGTGCTGACTGTAGAAGGCATGCTGCATGGACTTCTATATGAGCTGGCTGGAGCATTAGGAGGAACATGCACAGCATATGCTGTTGTTGGCCCTTCCTCATTCTGCAGGTAATTAATAATCACTATGATGGATTCATTAATGAAGCATGTACACTTATACAATGTGTTTATTTATGTTCATTAATCAAAGATCGATCCTCCATCAGTAAGCTGGCTATTACAATAGTTGAGTCAATGAGCAGCAGTAGCAGCTGCCGAGAGTAATTTGTCGCCTGGCTGGCAGAAGGGCGTTGGCACTAAATCGCCTCACACTTTTATAAAACTAATTTATTTCCGAGAAAAAAATTGTGCCCATGTTGTACTTTAATATTTCTATTAGTCTTTTAAGTTTTAAACCTAAATTTTTCAGGATGGAAAGCAGTTAAAATATAAAACAAATCTTTAAATGAGAATAATTTGAAAAGTAGTGTTCGAGTTGCTCGGGCTGACGCCCTTCTGCCAGCCGGGCGACGAATTGTTGAAGTAATAGAGCATACCCAGAATGCATGTAGTGTATACTGATTTTCAGGTCTCCATGTATGTCATGCAGTGATACATTAATACGTTCAATTCTTATCCCTCAGAGCTGACGGCTCTGCAGTACCCCTTCCCATGACGGCAGCCGAAGAGAACAGCAACCGCTCCATGGGTCTCCTCAATACCATCCAACGCTTCTTTCTCCACCACATGATAGACATCTACAGCTGCGACTTTTCCACCAGCGGTCTCACCCTGGACTCCCTCAACACCAAGCTCCGGGCTTTCCTCTCTCGATGCACGGAGGATGGGCCAAGGTTCGACACGTACCTACTCTACTACAGCGGACATGTTCATGCCAATGGTGATTGGGCTTTGGCAGGTGAGTGTACTAAAGGGAGAAAGGTTTCATACTGGACATGTAGAAAATGGCAGATACAAGTAGCGTTCCTTTTAAATTTTTCCAAAAGTGTCAGTCTGAAGGAAATGTTAAAGATGTCAGATAAATTTAGGCAAATATTACATACTTGAAGAGTATTGGCAGACTGACATATCCAATGTGTCAGTGACATACCTATTCTCTTGTAAGCACAAAGGGAGAGGATTGAAAGCTGTCGGTGCCCTGATTGCCTAATTACAAGCATACACATGCTTTCTTAGCAGTCAGATAAAACAAAACAAACAACCAACCTGGTATTATTTATATTGCATCTGGTATCCCTTTAATTTTTATACCAATAAAATTTGAGTGAAACCAAAAAAGTCAAAGCCATTTGCAACAACTTTATGATCCCCTTCATTGATTTATTTTAGTCTTTTCATTTGAAAAACTAAGTTAAATTAATATTCTTTCAATGTATTACATTATCCTCATTTCCTTTCATTGTATAGACAACGGGGTGCTGAAGTTTGACCAACTGTTAGAACTGTGGTCATCCCTGGACCAGCAATCAGGATCAAGATTAATCCTTGTCACAGACACACCTAGTGGTGGTGAATGGCCAAAGCGAATCAAGAGTGATGCAGACAACTTCATCGCAATCCAGACATCCATCTTAAAAAAATCCACCGATCCAGAGACGGGAGTCACTACATCTGTAGGAGATTTTACAAAAGAATGGGTGGACTTTAACTGCACCAAGGAAACAGATATTTCATGGCATGAGCAAGGTCGGCGCACCAAGGCCGTGTATGCTGTATGCAGCCGATGGAGTGAGTTCACGTTCCATCAGCCGACCGAGAGCGACATGGAAAGTCACTGGCAGAGTAACTTTCCCCGTACCACTCACCCGCTGATCAAGCTTCTACAGCTTCCTAGTGCGTTGGACTGCTTATCATTGTGTTCCGGTTGTCTGTATTGTATTAGACGCTGGAAACTGAAGTGGCTGCCACCAAAGATTATCAACAGTGGACATGGCTTCAAGTTGGTACAATCTTGAATGGGATTGGCCATGTCTATCTAGAGGTTTGGTTAAAGATTTATTCTTTTTTTCTTTTCAAAGAGGAGTTATTTCTATTTGTTTTCTTTTCTTTATTTCCCCCTCCTCCCTCTTCTAAAGCCTCCCCTATGATCTCGGCCGTGAAACGACTGATCGCCGCGAAAATTTGCATACATGTCAAGAGAAGTGTATAGAATACTATGGTTATTTCAATTTTTTGAAAAAATTCACTCATTTGCATATTTAGGGTAATTTATGCAAATAAGGTCATAAAATTCACATTTTTGCCCATAAATCAGACATTATTCATATTTAAGCATTCTTTTTCACTACATATATTTGTTAGACCATTTGAAATAATAATACAACACAAAAAATTGAATAACCAGGGTTATTCCTTATGTTATCTATTGTTTTGATAATTTCTTATGTATTTCTTTGTTTTTTTAACTTATGTATTTTATTGTTTTTGTTGTTTTATTTTATTTCCAACTATAATTCAACTATTTTGACCCCAAAATAAACACCTAAACTATAAACAAGACCTAATAACCAATGTTTTATCTCTTTATTTGAAAAAAGAGATTTCCATATGTTTTGTACACAAATCACAAAAATGAGCGATTTTCAGGCTGACATGCAAAGACAAAAGGACACGTGACTTTGTAATGGTAGGTCCGATTTTCAAAAAATTTCTTTCAAAAGATGCGCAAGACTTGAAAGAAAAAAGTCACAAAATTTCAGTGCAAGATTTTCTTGCGTTAAAAAATTATCGCGAAAAATGTTGGGGGGGGGGCATCTAAAGCCCCCCCCCCCCCCGGGCTAAATAGGGTCAATGCCAAAATATCTTAATTCAGAGGGAGAGGGATGTGTTTATTAAAACATCAGTGGTACCAAAAAGTAAGATGTAAAAAGAATGCTTAGCATTAATATCATTTCTTCTGAAACACCATTTTGTATTATATTTTGTTTCCATAGAGCATGCAACATGATATGTTCAAAGGTAACAGCTGTACTTAAAAAGTGATGCAATGAGTTTGTGCCAATTTAATATGTTTATATTTTGAGATGCGGAGAAGCATTATACACCCATCACATTTAATATCTGTCCTTAGTTTCTTAAAGGTATGTCTGTATTTGTCTGTGAAGGGCATTTACATGTGATGTGATACATTTGTCTCATCGGTTGGATTGCCCACCTTGAAATGTGTCAGCATTATGGCGAACTGTATAAAATTGACGGTAGGGGTTAGTGATATGTTGCTGAACGTAAAGAGAGAAGAGTCTACCGGTATATAAATGATGTTAACGTTCGTGGAGTCAGGAAAATGGTGTTGTAACATTTATACATGAGGTTTACTTGAAGAAATTACATTCAAAGAATTAGAAAACTGATGAGATGCATGTATCGCTTTTTACAGTTGATTTAAATTTGAACTTTTGAAGTAACAATTTTTAAATGTACTTTAAATATATAAAGCTTACACCAGGATTTGAAAACTCCTTCCTCTGTATGGTTTATTTTAAAGCAGTGATACAGAATCTTATCATAGTTTTCCACGGCACTGTTTTTGTGATCAGTCACGTACGTAGATTAACTGTATACCAACATGCATGATTCTGAAATTCATGAAGAAGTGCCACATGTTTACTTGCATCAGTAAAAATTGAAACAATGAGGGTGTTGTCAAGGGGCAGTTGATTTCCCTCCGAATCTTCTCACTGTCTGGGGTTTTGACCGTCACTTCATGGCAGGATTTCAATAGATACATACATTTAGGCCCTTCTTCATGACTAACACCATCATGATTGGCCCGCCTATTTATAGTGTACCTCATGCCTTTTAGAATCACCCCCTCCCCCCTGTTGTTTACATTTCTTGTTCTCTCTGCACACAGATATATGCACAACTCTCCAGCATTGCTTATTGCTGTAACTTGATCGTAAATTGGCATTGTGTGAAAATTGCAAGATTGATACATCATTAACATGTAATTGCTCATGATTTCTTTGGGCAATGCAGCCCTAGTTTTTAAATGTAAATACCTTTTTCACTGTGTGTAAAATCATGACAGCTTTGCAGGCTCCTCTAAAACTGATATGCAATAGGTACAGTAGGTAATGGAGTACACACATTTACAAATACATTTTTTTTTTAGCTTTCAGAAGATCAAGATAGTTTGAGAAGTTGTTTCATCTGAATGGCATTTGATGTTAATTTGGGGTTATGAAGAATTTATGGACATCAAAGTCTGAAATTCTGAATCCTATGCTGATGTTTAAGCACCCTGAGAGCTTTTTCGAGCAATCTTCCTTGTCATCTTTATCCTGTAACAGAAGAAGGATGTATGGAAAGATGCATAAATATTTATTGATGAACCACTGCACGCCCATTCTGTGGAAAAAAAATTGAAGTCTTTAGTCTTTACATATCGTAATCAATCTAAGAATAAATGTAGTAACCAAAGTTCTTTTGAAAGTCTTCTATATTAATGTCTGTCTAGTGTGCTAGCTGTGGCTGTAAATAAAGAAATTTCCTGTATGTGATTGTGAAGCACGGATTTGGTTGAAAAATCTCATCGCATCTCTACATGTATGTATACGTGTATTTATCCAGCTGGGCCATATAAGTACACTATTGAGTGTTTTGCCCCTAGACATTTGAGAGTAGACTAGATGCTATACATGCTTAATCACAGCAGAGATTGATGGAAAGGTAGTTGAGAATGTATACGACCACTGTCCACTGACTTACCCCTTATTTGGACTCTTAAATTGCTGTGCAATGCTACATGTATTGGAGATACTGCTTATGATTACATGTATCATCAACTTATAAAATTGTTAATGTTGTTAAAAGAATTAGAAAATGTTAGACTACCATTTTTGTATTATTCTAAGAGGCTTCTGTTTGTCAATTAAAATACAAATTTATTCGGTTGATATTGCCTAACAACTTTCACATCTGGGGGTACTTAACATATACGTATTCAATTTTATATCTTAGTTCTAGTACTAAGTTATTTCTTCTTACCCAAATTATCACATGAGTTATCCGATTTTGTTAAATATAAATGTATTAAAAAAAATGTTTAAACAGTAAGTATAGTTGACTAAAAATATATTAGAACTATGAATGTATGATGGCACATCAGACAGGTTTACTGATCAATATCCTTCTATAGTCGTAGTTTCAAGAAGAGCAGTATTTGTATAGAATATTGACCAAAATTCCACTCTTAGTAATTTATTTTCAAAGATACTATCATTCTGTATTGATTGACAACAGGAGGAAATACCATTTCTAACCTTTCTAAACTTAATGATCGCAGATAATTTCAAATCATACTTCAAAGAGTCCACGATGTACCTCGAAAATAAAAAGGCAGATTTGTTTAATTTTTTACAGAAAATAAGAGAGGAACAGAGAAACAGGTATATGTTAAGGTAGTATTATAATTGTCGTTGTTATTATTTTCAAACTTCTAGTTTGTAATCTTCATAAAGGCCTAGCTGAAAAATGAAAATCTTTTAGTGCAATTATTCACATTGAATGATACAGCAGTTGCTTTATTTTATGAACATATACATGTATTTGTTTCTAATTCTGCATGATTGAATTTATGTTAATATCTATTTTTTTAATGTTATTTTTGCAGGGAGATTGTGTTTCCTTTGTTACAAGATAGCTCAAAGCAGACAGTTACAATTATTCGTTTGACATTTCTTTTAAACCTCCATGGTGAATATTTCCAGTGTTTACAAGAAACAGTTGAAGGTTTTTGAACATGTATGAAAGTGGTCATGTGATCTGCCAGAGATTATGGCCAAGTTCAACTCCTGGAGAGTTCCCCAATTGATTAGCCAGTTCAGCAGTTTAACAATTATATTGATTCATGTAATCCTACCTAAAACTGATTTTCAGTGTAAATTTATCTGCTCCATTGACTCCAAAATTATGAATATTCAGAGATATGTATTTGCATATTCATATTACAATATGCAGTCCACATTTGAATAATAGTTAAAGGAAAGATATCACCAATGATACGTCTTGAATGTTTCCCTGATATTAACAGTATTTTGGAGCATGGTGATTGTGATTTTCATTAATTGATCATGAGACAACTTGGTAAGTGTTCTTGTCGGATATGTTAAAGATAATAGGTCATTGTGTGCAATGCGTCTTGTACGACACAGGTCTTTTATCCATCAATTTCATCCAACATCAAAATCTCTTGATTTGACATATGAATAATTGAGATATCACCACCATTAGAAATGATCTAATCAAAGAGGTTTTTTGAATGAATAAATGGATAGATATATGCTATACTGTACAAATTTCCCCCTTCTTCTTCTAACTGAAATGTTAATGTGAGTTTTGACAATGCTGACTGCTGAAAAAACACGTGGTTGATGTATCATAAAGTAAAAAGTGTGTCAGTATGAATGTAGGCTTGATGAGTATGCAATATTTGTTACAGTCGTGTATAAAACCCTTTGATATTTTTATTTATACATTAGCAGTGGAATCAAATAAATGTATATCATATGAACATGATATGAATTAATGATTTGTCATGGTTTCATTTTTCCTCCTTTATGATTATGTTTGTTTTATCTGATTCTGACTCCTTTCTTACAAAGTAAAAATTAACATTGCTTTTAGTTATGTGATTTTCCATTATTGTTCACGATATTCCTAGTTTCATATTTCGTATTAAATCTCTCCTCTCTCATTCTTATTCTTTCTTTACTTGTTCCTTCCTTCTTTGTATTTTATTCATTTATTTCGGCATGGTTTATCAAATTGCATGATATAATCAACATGATAAAAAAGGCCCCACATTGAGAAAACAAAGTGCACATGCGAAGACTAGTAGTCATTATTATTACCTTTATTATTATCATCATTATCAAAATCACAATCATTCTTACATTGTTTTTACATGTTGCAAAACGTGAACAATAGCATCACCAAACATTTAACGAAATGGTCTGAATGGCAGACTCTCACTGAGAGTTATGATGATGGACTTATCAAGTGGTTCACTGCATCTCGGAATGACTAACTGGTTACAAAACAGGCAATACTAGTAAGAACAAAAAATAATTAGTACATCATTCACGCATATTTAATATAACCATCAATATAGTTTTCAACATGTGAGCAAATTTATCCTTTTGTTTGATGAAAATGTAATACATCACATGTCATTTTCTGTTGGATTTCTCTATCCATTCATGCAAGCGATCATTAGGCTCAGAAGAATGACATGTTTCTGTTGTTACCCAATACAATTTACCATATACAAGTCTGATATTGATATCTTTTAATTATAAGAAATCTTACACTTTAAAACAACATATCAATCATGCAAGAAGATGAAAACATAAAAGCTATCTACAGGCAAAACTCACTTGCACACACACGGAATATAAAGTACATTTACATTCAACAAGCAGCCGTTTTTTATTTTGACGTAAACAATATTATATATTAATTACATGTGCATTTGTACTTCTGATATTTGGATCCATTTATATCACAGACCATGAATCGCGTACTTTATTTCTATTTCAATATTAGGCAAGGAGCATTCTAAAATTGAACGTTACATTAAAATGTCTTCAAAGAAAAAACTACGGGAAAAAAATGCACTACCGAAATAATTATATGATGAAACAAACACATACATGCACGCACGCAAGCACTTAAAAAAAAAAAAAAGCAATTTTGTTTTATTTCTCCAAATGTGTAATACAAACAATAACATACAATTGAATAAAATAAACGTGTTCAATATTAATTGCTTATATATAAACATAATTAAACAAAGACTTATTTGTAGTATAGTAAACGTTTAAGTACCTAAACATAATATATATGTCAATTGTAAATGTTATTCACTTATATATATAAAAAAAATAAAAAAATCTGGAGGTAATTTTAGTGGAACAATGCCTGCTCCTCTCTGTCCCCTCCCTGCCCCCTCCTGACACAAACCCCTCCATCCACCCAAACACATACTCACCCACCCACCCACCCCACACACACACACTCCTTAATCAGTGGATGTCTGCTAAACATTCTCAACTCAGAGAAAAATATACTAAATAAGTAAGTTAACCAGGCTGCAAAATAGAGTTTTACAATTTTAACAAGCTCATGCACGGTGGAGAAGAAAAAAAATCTTAATTAATTAATTGCTCCCACTTTAAGAAATGTGATCCCAGCTTTCCCATTCTAATGGCTATTTTCTTTTCTTCATCCCTATACTTAAAAATATTTTTTTCCCCATCTTTTCTAAAGTTGGTACTCGCCCCCCCCCCCCCCGATCTTGACATTTATGTAACATACTGTAACATACACCATGAAAATTATAGTATTACACATTTTTATTCTATATGAACTACCTGCCAACCCAACAAATATATCTCGCCATTCTAAATCTTTAATTTCATCTAACTCAAAAAGTTGTACTAAAGCCTGCCATATACTTTGAACGCACACATACGCATGCACACGCACCCACTCACGCAGACACGCAGACACGCCCAAATGACAAAACATAAATGATAATGCTACATTCTATATATTGGGAATATGTTCATGCTGTTGAATGTTTTAAGGTGCAACCAGGAATGCAAACATAATACTCTGGCCAAAATTTACTTTACATCTACAAGTAAAAAAAAATCATATTTATACATTTCATGTGAAATATTAATTACAATCATAAATGTGATTCTCTACACGATCAATGCCATGAATATGAACATTTATGATATATCAATATCGTCGTATTTAAAATCATTTGATGTATTCTATTAAAATCTTCATTTAGCATGTTAAAACTAGGAGAGCTGCGTCACATTACTTTTATTCATGATGTTAGGATGGTATATAGAGTAGTTTTTTCTTTCTTTTTAATGTAAGCTTTATCTCTACCTTTCTCGCTTGTTTTTCATTCTATGTTACACCGTACAACTCTTTTTACCTCCCTCTTTTTAGTTGCGCTTGACTGCTCGAAGAGTAATGCCGTTGGGAGGAGAAAGGAAACCATTGGTTGCTTGCTTTGGTGGCATCTATGATAAAATAGAAGAACAGTACCACAATAAACATCATTCCAAATCAAATCGAATCCCATCAAATCAGATCAATTCTTTTAAAAAATGGGGTGGTCCTTATACAAGGTTCACCCCAAAAGAAAAAGCATACCCTTGACTTGTTGTGATTTATACTAATACCCAGGGGCGGCAATTTCTTTTCATGACCGGGGGGGGGGGGGAGGGACGAAATGCGAGGGACGGGGGAGCAGTGGCGTATAATGAGCAAAAAACGTTTTTTTTTTGGGGGGGGGGGGGGAGAAAAAAAAAATCCGCATCCCCACTCTTACATGGTAGATGCAGGCCCCGTGGAACGTTTCTCAAAGGGGGGGGGGGGGGGGGGGGGGCTTGAGTATTTTTGATTAGGTAGAGCAAAGCGAACGGAGCAAGTGGAGCGTAAATTGGGGTGGGGTCCAGGGGCAAGGCCCCGGCGGGGGTCAAGGGGCGTAGCCCCATGAAGCTCAGGGGTTTTAGGCATTTAATAAAGGTCAGCTGAGCATCCAGGGGCCCGCCTTAGAGACCATGCCAGTGCCTGCATTGGCATCCCCCAACTCCCAACATGACTGATTACACACCCGCGTCCAGAATCCAGAGGCAGGATTCACTGTAGTAGGTGATTTTAATGATCTTGATGTGAACCAAATTTTAGAAAATGATACTTTCTGTCAAGTTGTAAATAAGCCAACCAGAGGTCAAAACATATTGGACAAAATTATTACAAATTTTGATTACGCATATGAGCCTGTTGAGATCCTTGCACCGCTAGGGATGAGTGATCACAACGGCATCCTGTGGCGCCCTTCAGCCCTCTTCCGTCAACCTGGCAAGCTGACTAACGAGACGCGGACAAAAATAGTGCGCCCTCTAACAGATAGTGGAATCCGAGCGTTTGGCACTTGGATAACCCGTCACACGTGGCAAGATTTGTATCAAATCATTGACCCGTCGGATATGTGTCATTTATTTTATAATGTTGTGCGAGAACATATTGATCAGTCCCTACCTACTAAGACTATCAAATTTCATGAAAGTGATAAACCTTGGATATCTAGTGAGATAAAATCGTTAATTAAACGAAGACAGCAAGCTTGGCACTCTGGTAATAAAGAGCTGTGGAAATATTTTAGAGACAAAGTTATAGATGCAATAATATTAGCTAAGGACTCATTTTATAATAAAAGAATTCATACACTTAAAATAAATAATCCCGCTGATTGGTATCGTCATATAAAACTCATAACTCAAGGACCTCAAGATCAACCATCCATCGACATACCAGGTATTGCAACTGATCAGCCTGAACATTTTAAGGAAGCAGCCGATTGCATTAACGATAAGTTTTTATCTGTGGCAGCAGACCTACCGAAACTTGATAAAACAAAGTTACCAGCATATTTACCTTCACCTGTGGATTGCCCAATAATAGAACCGAAAGAAGTGTATGATCTGTTACGTAAACTTAATTTACAAAAATCGACTATTTTAGGCGACTTACCTGTCCGAATATTACGTGAATTTGCTTATGAGTTATCTTCTCCATTATGTTATATTCTTAATTTTGCATTTAAGCAAGGGGTGTTTCCACAAGTATGGAAGTATGCTGAGATAGTACCAGTACCCAAATCATATCCACCAACTCTACTTGAATTACGGCCCATAGCCCTAACTTCTTACTTTGCTAAAATAGCTGAAACTTTCATTACTAAGTGGTTGTGTGAGGATATTGGTGATATTATTGATAAAAACCAGTATGGAAATCGTCGTGGTCTTTCTACTTGCCATTATTTAATTGCAATGTTACATAATTTATACAAAAATGCAGATAAACAAAAAACAATTTCGACAATAGTTTTAACCGATTTTTCTAAAGCGTTTGACCGGATTGATCATAATATTTTAATTTGTAAACTTGTTAAATTGGATGTACGACCATGTGTCATTTCATTAATAGTAGATTTTTTAGAATGCCGCCAACAAGTAGTAAGGTATAAAGGTCGTATTTCAAATGTAAAAAATAACAATGTAGGAGTCCCTCAAGGTACAAAATTGGGGCCTATATTATTTTTAATTATGGTTAACGATGCGTGTCATGATTGTTTACTCCCTTTTTATAAGTATGTGGATGATTTAACTATAGTAGAAAGCCGGACTTCTACACAAATATCAAAATTGCAATCGGAATTATTGTTATTAGAAAATTGGTCTTTACTCAATAATATGAAACTTAACCCAACTAAATGCATTGCTATGACAGTCTCTTTTATGAAAAATCAAACTCACCAACTGTTGTATATAGATGAGACACTTTTAAATGAAGAAAATGTAATCAAAGTTCTTGGAGTTTATATTCAATGTGATTTAAAATGGAATACTCAAGTAAAGGAAATGTTAAAGAAGTGCAATAGAAAGTTATATATGTTACGTACCTTGAAACGTTTTAATTTACCTATTATTGATCTCGTTATTGTTTATACTGGATACATAAGACCAATTTTAGAGTATTGTGCACCACTTTTTCATTCCAACCTAACACGTATACAAACAGATAATATTGAACGAATACAAAAACGGGCATGTAGAATTATTTTGGGACTTAATTATGAAACATATAATCATGCTCTAGAACTGTGCAATTTGTTAACGTTGGAAGAACGTAGGAATAAACTTTGTTTTGATTTCGCCATTAAATTAGAAAAGCATGATTTGTGTTCGTTATGGCTACCAAGTCAAAGAATTGTTAAATTTAATTTACGAAATGTACAGAAATATTCTCAATTTATTTGTAAAACTAGTCGCTTTAATAACAGCTCTATTCCCTATTTTGTTCGTATCTTAAACGATTATTATTCAAAAAAGTAAGCTTCATATATTTTTGTATATGTTTATGTTTAATGATGTTGTCTATTATGTGTATAAATGTGTCCAGTATTTTTATCCTTTTATATGTCATTAATTTTATTTTATGTCAACATGTATAATGCTCAGTGTATTTTAAATATCATGATGTTTTTACCTTGTACAAATGATCTGCAATTCAGCTTCGGCTGCCAGAACATCATACGAATAAACCCTTATTGAATTGAATTGAATTGAATTGAATTGAACAGAAAAGGCGTCGAAATGGTGTCTATTTCAGGTTACGGCGTCGTCGACGTTTTCCTTAAAAAGGGGTGTTTTTCGAGCACGTACTGATCTCACAATTAACCCCCCCCCCCCCCAAAAAAAAGGGTAGCTTTTCAGGTTCACAGGTTTCGACGTTGTGCGATGCGATGCGCCATTAGGGTCCATTTCAGAAAAGATTCGATACGCCATTGGGGTCGATCCATTTCCAGTTGATGGACACGGGGAAGGTAGCACTTGTGTGTGAGAGTGATCCCCCCCCCCCCCGGATCGACATATCCAATAACCTCCGCGCGTGGTCTTCACTCATCGCACGATCCCCCCAAACAACCGTCGGGGTCCAGAATGAGAGATAAGGACTAATATACTGTCACCGGATCAGCGTTGAGTGTGTGCTGTGTTGGACTATTGCAATTGCAAGGGCTGCACGTGGGTTGTGATTTCACCTCCCGAATTCTTGCATGTGAGGAGGAGAAGGAGGAGGGGGGGGGGGGGGGGGGTAGTTTTTCTGTAGGGTACACAAGAAGGATTTTAAGAATAACGTACGAATGGTAGGAGTTTGCCTGCGACTCGACTGCATGAAGCTAGCTGCGGATCGACACGTAAAGACGCACGGTGAGTTGTGGCCATTATTAGCTTTTCTGCCCTGCTTCAATCACCAATTCTTATACTGTAACCAAGAAAACTAACCTCCGTTTGAGGGCAGGTTTCAATCTGGTATTTCTGCAGAATTCGTACGATGACCATCTTGGCTTCCATTATTGCAAACCTCATCCCAACGCAGGCACGAGGCCCTGTTCCAAACGGCATCCAAGCACATGGGTGATGTTTTTCACGGTTTTCTTTGCGGAATCTGTTATTAACAAACAAATACAAATTATACTTAATATTATGCAGTTACAACTTAGTTATAGTGCATTCTCAAAGCGGTGTTTTCCCGTCAAGGTATGTTATTCACCTACAAGCAAATATCCCTTCAGATGGGACTAACATCCATGTGATTGGTCCCTCGATCCCTCTTACTACATTGTATTACTAATAATAAGGTAACATTGTAACGCACCTAATACTACATTTCTAGGCGCTCTGATGCTGTTGCTGTCCTAGCAGACATTATAGGTAAACCATAGTACCTCTACCAGACATTGACAAATTTCTTCAAGTACAAGGCACCCACGAGGGTTCGCAAGAAGAACGTGAGAATAATAGAAGTTGGCCTACCACCCGACCGCAGCTGCAAACACACGTGCAAAAAGACATACGGCAGGTTGTGACCATTATGGCATCATAGTTGGAGGTGGGAAGAAGCGGAAGCAGATCGCAGCCGGGAAGAGTCCGCCCTAGATAGGGCAGTGACCATCGTGAATATTGAAGGCAAGGGGAATAATTTTGAATTATACACGTTGAGGTATCATAGCCAGTGGAGATTACGGAGGATCGGAGTGATGTGTCAATAATACTTTGAGCAATTGACCTGCAAACGTGCTGTAAAGTTTTGGATGCGCTGGAGTGGACTATATGGTAGCGAGGGTGGTAGATTGGGTTCTAGGACACCTACCCCCTGGACATCCACCCCCGGATAACCACCCCAGTCGACTACCCCCACGGACAACTTTCCCAGAAAACTACCCCCTAGGACAACTACCCCTGGAAAACTGCCCCCGGACAACTACCCTTAGAAAAACTACACCCGGACAACTATTCCCTACGACAACCATTCCCTACGACAACCATCCTCTAGGACAACTACCCCGGACAACTGTTCTAGGGGATAGTTGTCCGGGGGTAGTTGTCGTAGGGGGTAGTTGTCTGGGGGTAGTTGTCCGGGGGTAGTTGTCCCGCGGGGACGTCGTCCTAGAGAGTGGTTGCCCTAGGGGTAGTTGTTCTAGGGGGTAGTTGACTGGACGTGATCCGGGGTTGATGTCCAGGGGGTAGGTGTCCGGATACGGGTAGATTGATATTGTAGATGCCATTAGATGCTAAAATTAAATGCCTTCTCTGCAACGAGATAATATTTATTATTGTTATATAATTATTATAAATGAACAATTATTTTTACCAATCAATCAGCATACCTGTCAGGATCAAATGTTTCCGGGTCAGGCCACAAATTGGGGTTACGATGGATGGTGTAGATAGGAATGAAGATTCGCATGCCTTTTGGAACGGTGAATCCGTTGACGTTGAATGGCTCATTACATACGCGATCAATCCTGAGAGAGGAATGTTATTGGTTTATTCATATGGTAGTTTGCTTGGTTAAAGTGGCACCACAAACTTCTTTCTACAATCCATTTATTAGTTTTTAATGTAGCTTAATTGTTTACATAATGCTTTGAAATGCTTGTAACTGCCCCAGAATCATAATTGGTCATTGGTAGTCCATTAGAGTGTCAACTGAAGTGTTTTTCAATTTCGAAATCATTCGACAGATCCTTTTTAATGATTCAAAACAGAGAAAAACTAACAATCAAAACCTGACAATATAGGTATACAGAGTATGCATCTTTGGGAATTTGCAAATCACAATAGAGACAAGGAAAAAACAAACATACATTATGGCTGGTGGATATATGCGTTCTGTCTCGCAAAAGATTTGTTCAAGGTAAGGCATTTTCGAGAGTGATTGGTATCCGACATCCTCTGCCTTGGGCGCTACATCGTTGATTTCATCCACAAGTTTGTCCTGTACGTCGGGATTTGTTGCAAGGAAGTATAGCAAGAATCCACAAGTGGTGTTTGTTGTCTCATAACCAGCCAAGAAAAAGATCAAAGCCTAGTCAAATACAAAAGATAATATATTTCTTTTAGCAGACTACATGTACAGTACTTTCAATGTAACGCAGGAAAATTACACGTATCTTCTGTCCTGGAACATTTAGTTTCGTTCCCCAAAACCTATAATCTGGATTTATATCACACTTCATAAATTGCTACTGAGCACTGTATACAGTACTTGGTTTATCATACAAAGGTCATCGGATTCGTGCAGCCAGAATGTAGATAATTTCAAGTTCTGTGCTAGCGTTGGTGCTAGTTTTAACGCTAGTTTGATCTAGCACCAGAGGTGAAATCATTCAATCTCCGCAAGATTTTTTCACCTTTCAGTGGATTCCTACGACTTAAATGCAATATGGGCAAAAGACACTCTTGGTGCTATTTCCATAGCTTTTAGCATCCTACCAGGTGTCCATATCTCTCAGTAGGAGACCAGCATGTAGGTCCCGTGACCAATCTCTGGCAACAAAGGTTTGAAAGTGTTTTTGAGTTCCCTGATGAATACCGAACAATTTTGACTTGGGCTGCCCCCTTGAAAATCCCAGGCATTTTCGTGAGGGGTCAGCAAAGGTCACACAGGGTTAGAAATTCAAATAGTTCCAATCGTGTCAATATGCATATCAAATTACTCGTCTGGTCATGAGGATTCCAAAAATGTATAGTTTGCTATACCTCCGACCTTAAATAAGGGTGCTATGGTCAAAAACGTTGAAAGGTCAACACACTTTTGACTGGTGGTCAAATTTATCAACACATTGAACATTATTTAATTGCATATCAAATTACTCGTCTGGTCGTAAGGATTCCAAAAATGTATAGGTTGTTATACCTCCGACCTTAAATGAGGGCGCTATGGTAAAAAAGGTCAATGCACTTTAGAAATTCACCAACACAGTTAACATCGTCCGATTCTAATGATTTTAGTGTCTAATATGTTTTCTGACCTAAGCAATTTTTCAAATAAAAAATGGTTGCCATAACCTTGAAATTTCCCCCTAAACCCATGAATAAGAAGTTGTTAGATGTTTGTCACCGAAACAGCAGCCATTTTGAATTTACATGGTCAAGGTAAGCACTTTTACTTTTGAAAGTTGTATAGTTGAATTTGCCATGTCACAAAACATATTATTAGACCCTCAAATTATTAGAATCGGAAAATGTTAACTGTGTTGTGAATTTTTAAAGTGCATTGACCTTTTTGACCATAGCGCCCTCATTTAAGGTCGGAGGTATAAGAACCTATACATTTTTGGAATCCTTATGACCAGACGAGTAATTTGATATGCAATTTAAGGTTTTCCGTGCAAGGCATCAAACGCATGAACTTTCTATCTCCAGTCATTAAGTTCAAACCAAACTAAACCAAAGTATATTATTTGAGGATATTTATGGCAAAAGAAAGGTATTCTATGAGGTTTATGTCAAATTTATATGAAGAACAGTAATTTCTTTAGTATTCAAAATTTTCCTTATATTCTTTAAACACAACTTTTGAATATTTTCTGACGATGAAGGGATTACCTGGCTGATCACCTCACTTTCGTTTAGCCTGATTTTCTTAGAACTCTTTTTCTGAAGTCCACCCTCATCAATGGCCTCATCTTCTGGGTCACCATGGATACCATCTGCTTTATTCTTGTTATCGCCGGTTATGTCTCTTTCTTGGGCGTCCAAAAGAAGCTGAAGATAGTCGATCCTCTATACGAATTAAAATGCAATAAAACATTACAAAGTAAACTAATACTCTTTGGAATAAAATTGTTTAAAAACATGAAATTAGTGTTGATCACGGATAAGAAAAGGAGATATTTTAGAGATATCTAGAAACAGTCAAAAGAAGGGTTATATGAATGAATCGCGGGAGCTCGTTCTAGAGATGAAAACCACATGTCTCAAAAGCGTTCTCACCAGTAATGGAAGGAAAGTACGGTCAGGATCTTGACTACGGTGTGCCCCCTCGGAGCCAATGTCATTATTTTATTTGTTTACTGACCGTGAAGACGATCATGATCAGCTACGCTCCACGATTCTGAACTCAGGGTACGTTACATTTTGTAACGAGCTGGTTTCATACAGTATCAAATTTGCATAATGAAGAAAAAACTACCAGCAAGCTAGGATAAAACCATGCTCACATGCTTTTACATTTATATGGTTTGAATACGAGCTATAACATGACGATCCATGATTTTGAGTGTTGAATCAAACTCCACTCAAGACTTCTGTACGAGTTGTTGGATCAATAGAAGGTCAGAAATACTAGAAGTGACACCAGGCCCATGCTGTCATGCTTGTTGGGTAGATGTTATAATGACCCCAATTTGTTACAATTGAGGAGCAATCTCTTGGACGCAATTTATTTCTGAAGATGTTTAAGACAATTTTATAGAGACAGAAGAGACAGAATGGCTAGGTTTATTATTCATTTCTTTTAAAGGATCAGCGAAAATGGGGTTATGAAGATAGTGGGTTATGGGAACATGTTGAAAAATCATGGTCCGATAAATGATCCTTGAGGAACACCATGATCAAGACGATTTACATCGGCTGGTGCTACCCCAAAATAAAAAGTAAACCAGGTCTGAGCAGTACAGCTAGTACACACTTCAGATGGCTGATGTAGGATCTAATAAGTCAAATGCAACCATTGGCAACCAAAACTCTACAAAATATAATAAAAAAGCTACACATTCCTTGGCCATAGCCTGCAAGGTATCATTCTTTATTTTCCCAAAGGCCATCTCAGTAGGGCCACGATGTTGTCGATAGGCTGACTTACAATCATTGGTGAGCTCGTTCAGCTCCAGGTGCTTTGAAACCTGACAAAGATCTGATTTTCAATGATCTGGGATAAAAAGGGAAGATTGGCGATCGGTCAATGGTAATTTGAGTTAAGTCTATTCAAGTTGACAGTAATTTCTATCAAGGATTGTGGGAAGTCATTTTACTCCAAGGAAGGATTAACTATTGTCACAATATAAAGAAGAAATTTGTCAATGTTTTGTTTAATAAGAACATAAAGGAGAGGGAGAAAGAACCTGATACATCGAGACTATCTTTTCCTTGTTATCTTCTGGGAAAATTATTTTATTAGCGAATCTTTTAGAGAGGTCATTCGTAGAATTAAGTGTAAGCAAATACTTGGAGATAATTATGTTCAAGAGGGTGATGAGTACAAGAAATGTCGTTTCCTTCAATGCAGCATGACGAATTTACTTTTAGAACTAGCCTGATAAGCTTGTGGATCTAATCCAAATACTTGATATGATCACTAGCTGTACGACACAGACCAAGATATTTCCAGTCGTCATCTGGCACGCCTCGCTTCATACATTTCGTCGGAGTACCCAGCTGGATAAAAACCAGTGAAAACGTGTTTGAGTTGAGTGTGTACAGGGATGTAGGCTCATATGGATTGAAATGATATAAATCAAAGCATATCTTCCTCAAAATATGGTACCCTTCAATGACAATGATTGAACAAGGTGTAATTTCATCGTAATACCTTCCTCAATAAATGATCGTCGTAAGAATTGATTGCCAAAACAAGTGAAGTATGAAGTACAAACCTTTGCACTATCTGAATTCTTTGACTCTCGGCGAACCGCACTCGTCTTCTTGATGATATCGGCAAAGAATTGTGTTGATTTCCTATCGATGATATTGAAGTCGAGATATTCGAGGATGGGTAAGGTCCAAGGGAAAAGAGCTGTTGAAAATCGATATTGAGCAGATGGAAACCTTGTTATTATGATTAGTCACCAAAGTTAAAGAACGATAAAACCGTGACTCTTTGTTTCAATTTACTCAGACTATATACCATAATAATAATAATAATACTCAGCTTTTATATAGGGCGAATTATAACTAAATCTCTAAGCGATTCCAAACTTGGAGATTATTACCCCGGCTTTAGCTGTGCTGCCATGACGGCGCTCTAGCATTTCAAGGAATTAATTCCTGCCAGGTACCCATTTACATCACCTGGGTTGAGTGTGGCAAATGTAGATCAATGTCTTGCCAAAGGACCGCGGCGGGACTCGACCCGCGGACCTTGTGATCGACAAATGGCAAATACTGGTTAACGCTGTCTACGTCTCCTTTTGGACAACTGCACGTAAACGAATGGACTCGCGCGCTAAACTGGGTCAGTGCGCGCTAGCGTTGTCGAAACAGACCGAAGTTCTCCTCACGGTTCGGTTTCGCATTTGTTGCACGCACGCGAATGCTGCGGTCGCATTGTCCGTAGTCGTTTTATACCCGATTGGCCCTCGGTAAGGCCACGGGAAAGACACACAACGGTCATGACATACTCCCTTTAATTTAAAAGGCATTAATTTAAATAATAACCTGGATTTGTATAGCGTTTAATTCGAAAGAGCGCTTTACGGATATTATTAGCCAGGTCACTGGATTCATTTATACTCTATGTGCACCATCTCCACTCCCTGTGGAGTATTCGTACCATACGTTCACCTTGAGGTATATATGTCATATGACAATTGCTAGCACAAAGGATTTCGTCATCCTACCTGGGGGTGTTTCTGACTTTACGAACAACTTGTATATGAAGTGCCAGATAGGATGTCCAAAGTTTTTTCTGATATTTTAAATAACCTCACTTAAATTATGGCAACAAATATACTTTGCATTTAGAATGTTTATTATCATAAGAATGTTAATCTACATCTGCACAGTTCAACTTTAGTTTATGTATTTAATAATGATTGAGCATCCCATTTGCCTTTTCATATACAAGTCGTTCGGAAAGTCATGCGTAACTTTACGAACAGCTTTATGAAACACCCCCCCCCACCCAGGTCCCTATTTCTCTCCTGGGTATGGAGTAGATTAATGAAGATCAATGCCTTGTCAAAGGGTATTAATGCCGTGTCGGGATCAAACCCTCGACCTTTGCATTTCGATTCAAGTCGGTCTAAACCACTCGGCTACGACACACCTCTAAAAGGCAATAGGCAATTCGTAATTATGAAATGGTTCGAACGACCCCGAATATTCATAAATCTTTTTAAAATGGAAAAGGCAAACTCTGAGCATTTCGGAATAATCACTGTCAAAGATATGTAGGTGCTTTATCAATACATATTGTTTGCCCTCTTTAGAAGAAGACTTTCACCTATGTTCCATAGAATGTAACGTCGGTACATAAATGAATAATGATATGGACCGAAAGTGTTACTTACAGACTAGTAATAGATATGGGCTGGTAAAAATGTTGCCTGAAAAGGCCTTCTTAGCGTTGGTTACGAATGGACCAAAACGGTTTTCTTGGCAGTCGATGTTAAGTCCAAAGGCACAGCTTGCGATAGTGTCCATCACAAACGCTCCTACCAATCTACAAGTAAACGGTATAATAGAAAATGTAGCTTCTGCGATATCAAATATTTTAATCTAGAGGCTTTATATCCCTTCATCATGAAGGCTATGTGGATATCCTTTAACCCTTATTGTACTGGGCTATTTTGAGCACCTCGTGACTGGGGGGGGGGGGGGGGCTGGGGAGCCCCCCCCCCCCCTATGATCTCGGCCGTCGAAAGTCCGATGAACACGATAATGTGCATGTTTGTAGATATTTACGTAAAGAACAAGATGGTATAATTTGTTTTTTTTTCCTAATATGCAGTTTGTTGTCGTTATAGCCTAATTAATTATGCAAAATCCAATTTTATGCATTTTACAGAAAATTCTACATAATCTGTAGACTTTATTTTCTTTTGTATTTTATTGTTTTTTATTTCTTATTTATATCTATTGTTTATTTCTAATGTATTCTTTTGTTCTGGAATACATCAAGTTACTTTGAGAAACATATAAAAGCAATTTGATATCAATTCATATTTCCCACTTAGGAAGAAATACATCAAAACCTATATTCACATTTCTGCTTGGACATGAATATATGCAATTATTATAGCATTATTTTTGATGACATGCGCATACTAATTGTTATGTAACACCTTACAGGTATATCCGAATTCGACGAAAATGGTATCAAAATGTGCGTAAGACTTGAGGAAAATATGTCATGAAACGACAATTCAAAATTCTAAGCGATTGCGGCGCAATTCCCGAAAATGTCGAGGGGGGCCTCCCAGGCTCCCCCCCCCCCCCAGTACAGTAAGGGTTAACAATATTAAGAAATATTACATTACTATTAAACATTACACATTGTATAAAGGTTAGACCATGATTAAGACGAGATTACAGATTTTAGTTTATCTTTCCCTAAGAATACATGTATATCATTTTCTTTCATGGCAGTACTTACTCTCTGCACTCAATGTTCCCATGAAGCTCCTGGCGTTTCTCTAGGTGCTTCAAAAGCCTGTCGGCGCACTTATTTATTAGCGGAGACATCTGAACAGGTAAAACGGGAAAAGATCCAAACAAATATAGGTTAAGAGTGAGATGGAAAAACCGAGTGTTGTCGTCGAGTCCATATCTTCCAAGGCCAATATTCAGTCAAATCCTAGTCTCCACTTCCCAAGTATTCACATTTACCCATTAAGATTGGAACCTTCACCCTCATCGCGACAAGATCGCAAAGACTGTCGAGAAGTAAACCCAAGTTTAATTTTCAATACCCTTTTGTAAAGCTAATCCAGCAGGCTATTTAAATTCTTTTAGCTTAATTTCTTGAAAGTCGATAGATCATGTTTAACCGAGGGTGCCTTGTTCATCTTATTTTCCTCCTCTTACCCACTGCATCCAAAGCCCTGTTACACTTGTCTATATACTAACTCATCCTGTTACACGAGGAACAGCAATAAAATGTTCTAATCTTCATCTATTTAGTTTTTTCAATAGTTTAATTTCACTGTAAATTTGCGTAATGGAGTTAAGCCACATTGGTCCGACTTATTCGAATTCGGTTAAACTCGCCTTTGGGTCTAAAATCGCATTTAGCTAAACGAAAAACCTCAGACTACCTTCCTTTGTTTAACTAAATTTTGTACAAAAGCCTGAACCAAGCGCCGAGTTTAAATTTTTAGTAAATTTTAGCAACTGGCACTTGTGAATTTTTCACAAAGGTCTTACATTACCTTTCCTCTTTTTTTGTGAAGGAATACTGTTGAACAAAGTACTATGATCAAAAGGCGATGGCTACACATTTAATTTCAAAACGGGCGTTCCGGGTGAAAATCGTATCGAGTTTTTAACGAAAAAAACCGATAGAAAACTTAGGCCCTGGAACTTTTAACTTTGCTGACAAATGTATAAATAACAGTGTGAAACACGTTGAAATAACAATGTTGGCAATGTGAGAGGAAGCACGTACTATAATATAGGGACTAGGGAGTATGAAATAGAAAATGACACGGACAAAAAAAGGGAAATATTACGAGTTTCATCTTGGCTGCGCTGAAGGTAGGTGTGACGATATTCCTGACGCCTTTCCAATGCTCATCTTTGGAGTTGAATAATGCATCTTTAAGGTCATCGCTGAACAATGGAGTCACCTGAAGATAGGAGAAACAGAGCAATATTTGAAGTGGTTTACAATATAGGCTAGCCACACCGATAGTATTAGTCTGTTTGACATTGTATTTTTATGCCCATAATACACATACACTCAAGCCTCTGTCACACTGGGCGTATGACCAGTTGCTGATTTCTGACGATTTTTTTTTTTTTTTTTTCCAGGGGGGGGGGGGGGGGCCTGAATCCGCCACTGGCGCAAAGATTCAATCAGTTTGATTTTGGCGATTACAAGAAGTGGGTTATATTGATGTAGCATTTGTACCCTTTACAGCTCATTTTATGTAAAGTATGTTATTACTAAAGAAGACAAAAACCAGTAAGTCACTCAATAGTGTCTGACAGTGAAGTCTAGCAAGTAAACGAGTTTCCTTGCATAATTTGAATACTAGGACACTACTAACGTTTAAATTTCACAGAAAGGACATACATGACATATTCATAATTCCTGCAAAGTTCTACAGAATTTGATGTTGGCTGCAAAAGGGACATAGTATCTTTAAAGACTGCCAAAAAAAACCTCCTTGCGACCTCTGACAACTTAAACTCACGACCAGCGGTTGTCGAGAGTCGGCGACCGGTCGCAACTCTCAGGCGCTTAGCCAGGGGGAGGGGGCGGTAGGGGCGGTGGTGGCGATGGGGGCGGTGGGGGCGGTGAGGGCGGTCCCCCCAAAAAAAAACGCGGGTCAAAAAAAAAAAAGAGAAAGAAAGAGAAGAAAAAAAGTAAGAGGACGTAGGAAGAAAAAGGGAAAAGAAGTCGAGAACGGTACAACGAATCGTCTTCTTTCTCTAATATTTTAATGAAACGTCAATAGCTTCCGCGCGAAGCGCGGAAAGGGGGGAAACTTAATACAGAAAAGGATTAAGAGTCGGGAAAAGTCAACGAATCGTCTTCTTTGTCTAATAATACGTCCAAGCTTCGCGCAGGAGGAGGGGGAGGGGACTGAATTTAGACAAGGATTAAGAGTCGAGAAAGGTACAACCAATCGTCTTCTTTCTCTAATAACTTTATGAAACGTCAAAGCTAAGCGCGAGAGGGGGGGGGGGAACGGATTCAGACAAGGATTAAGAGTCGAGAACGGTATTTTGAGTCGTCTTCTTTCTCTAATAAGTTAATGAAACGTCAAAGTTTCCGCGCTTCGCGCGGGAGGGGGACTGAATACAGATAAGGATTAAGAGTCGGGAAAGGTACTACGAAACGTCTTCTTTGTCTAATAAAACGTCAAAGCTTCCGCGCTTCGCGCAGGAGGGGCGGACTGAATTCAGACAAGGATTATGAGTCGAGAAAGGTACAACGAATCGTCTTCTTTCAAAGCACCCCTCCCTGCACCCACCCCTATAGGGAGCGCGCTTTGCGCGCTCTTCAAGTGATTTGCACGCTTTGCGTGCTCACTACCACCCCCTTATTTAAAATCCTGGCTACGCGCTTGGTAACTCTAGTGAGATGACATCACCAATTACTGGGAGCATGATTAAGGAATACTACCGGAGGTGCTTATTATGTCTGGCTTACTTCGGATCATCAGGTCCTTGCGTCCGGTCGGGTGTTCGCGTTACACGGCTTTAGGTGTCGGGTAAATAGCATTATATAACGTCCCTATGCGCTTCCAAGGAGTTTAAAAATGATAACCCTAACTTAAGGTGGAAACGCGACCACCCGACCCGACGCGAAGAACCGATGATTGGAAGTAAGCCAGCCATATGAAGTACCTCCGGTAGTATTCCTTAAGCATGCTCCCATATTAAGCACCATCCAAGACAACCGACTGGTTGCTATTGTTGAGGAAAGTTTGAATCCAAACTAGGGTTTGGATTTAGATACCATAGTGATTCAGCTTTAGCACAGGACGGTTGTGGGACGTGGGGCACTTTACCAAAAGCTTTGCAGAAGATAAGCATGGCCATGTCAACCTGTTTCTTGCGCTTGTATGCCTGTGCAGGTTCCTGGGTTATAAGTAGGTGAGGATGTCGTTATCCCACGCGGAAGATGATTAAAAAAGCAATTTAAAACTTGTCTAAAGATTCAGCATAACTTCTAGGAATTGTTTCTTGCAAATTGCTATTGCATATTCGGGTTTCCACTTCATCCTTAAGATAATGATTATTTCATGTTGTTTGATTCACTATTTTGAGTCGTATTTGGAATTGATTTGAGAGTAATACATACCCAACGATTGGTGAAGCTACCAAAGTCTTTGACCATGATGTCTCTCAGCAAGTCCACATCAGTGATACACAACCCCGGTCGATGAAAATCGTACACACTGATATAGACAATCATGGGAGGGAGCGAAAGAGAGAGAGAGAGAGAGAGAGAAAGAGAGGGGTGGGGGGGGGGGGGTGGAGGGAGGGGGCAGTAATTGGGACAGGGAAAACGGGGGAAAGAGTAACAAAATTAAATAGGAAAGATAACATTACGTTGGGTCCATTAAAGTGGATAGATAGACAGTCGTTGCACAAAGCAACATTTGAAAATAAGATTAAAGGGGTTAACATTGCGATGGACAGATGAAGAAAAAGAAAGAAGATTAACGTATATTATTGATCATGATTTTCATGAAGGGAATAGTACCTGGATATTCGGGCACTATTATTGTGATATCCTCTTATAAAGAAAAGACCTTCAAAATATATCCAGATGAACATGCAATTTTAATTTGATATATTATATTATTATATTATATATCTATTATAATATATATAATATTATTATTATCTAGAAATAGATGATAAGTTTAGAAAGACATATAGGAGAATAAGAAAAGGAAGATGAAGAAGAAGAAGAAGAAGAAGAAGAAGAAGAAGAAGAAGAAGAAGAAGAAGAAGAAGGAGAAAAAGAAGAAAAGGAAGAATAATGAGAACCAAGACATAATAAGACAAAACGCATGCCTACCCAAAGATAGTCCCTTGTTCCTTGAAGTAATCAAGGAATGAATGCTGGATGCCCTGTGGTATAGAAGAGAGGAAGAGAGAGAGAGAGAGAGTGGGGGGGGGGGACAAGGGGGAAAGAATTGGAAAACAAAACTGAACAAGTTTTAGGAATATGTAATATCTACATTAAATATTCATTTTTACATTTGCACAATTCTTATTTACTGAAACCACGTAAGAGCACATTTTTTTTAATTTTTAATTTTGGTCCCCCCCCAAAAAAAAAAAAAAATCGCAACGACTCAGCCAGCCGTTGAATAAGCGGGGGGAGGGGGGGGGGGGGGAATGTAATTATGATAAATTTATGATGAAACATAAGACAAACAACTATCTTACATAACCATTTACAAATATACTGAGACCATCAGGTCCGTAGATGCAAGTCGTCTTTTTCTTCTTAACAATCAAACTTAAATGCTGATGAATATCAGATAAATCTAATAAGTATAAGTGTATAAATGCAAGAAAATGAAATATGATGAAATACACATGAAAAAACAATCTTGAAGAAAAAGAATGAGCTATAAAAAGTGTGTATTAAACGAGAAATGGATATTGATCATCAATTTTAGTGCACAAAGTGCTAATTTGAATGCTACAAATGAATTAGAATGCTAGAAGTACATCGTCGCGTGTCAGAAAATCGTGTTGCGCCAAATCGAATGACCAAATAGCGAAAGAAGCACATTGTTCATTAATTTGGATGAAACATTACGTAGATTCTAACGAAAATTCCATAGTTTTGAAAACTAGAAAAGGGAATATAAACCCGAGATATACCCGACTGCACTAAAACCGTCGAATTTGAACGCAAGACAAATTAATTTGAATGACAAACTCGCGAATTTGGCCGGGAAATCCTATATTAGATTCGGACTTCAGCGTCATTTCCTCAATTCTAACAATGTCGACATCATGAATTAAGCATGAAGATTTTTCCAATTCGACGAGACTTTTTAAGTGTTTTTCAGCAATGCTTAAACAAGAAGGAAAGGGAATTGTGACTCACAAACCAGCTATCTCAGCAAAAGACATGGACAAAATCCAAGGTTCGCTTGATTTGGATGATCATTTATGTTTAGGTCTTTATGACAAGGTATTTATTGATATTATGACACTCAACAACTTCGAAATTTGTGAGGAATTAGGCCTAGACTAGGGGAAAAATGCTACATACACGATTATCTTCCCTTTACTTACACGTATAAGAAGACAATCATGTACTACACTTCTGCTAATTTCATTAAATTATCAAATATAACCTTCGGTACAACCCTTATTCTTGATCGGATAACTTTCACACAAATACTATGCCCAAATGAAACATTATCTTCCCTTTACTTACACGTATAAGAAGACAATTATGTACTAGTTAGTAAAATAACACTTCTGCTAATTTCATTAAATTATCAAATATAACCTTCGGTACAACCCTTATTCTTGATAGGATAACTTTCACACAAATACTATGCCCAAATGAAACATGATAATTCCCCTATAATGACTAAAATATGTGAATTATGCTAATTTTTCTTCATTTGGCAGTACCTATATTGACACGATGCGCCATTGCTGTAGCGCATGCGCATATGCACTGACCAATCAGAGCTCGTCTGATTAGAATAGGGTGTAAAATTACATCCCTCAAATATACACCCTTGCGTATTTCGTGTTTTACTCCCTGAAAGGTGTAATAGGGGGCGCCCTATTTTCCCAATTTCGTTTTACTCCCCAAGAACACCTTTTATTTCTCTGTGTGTAGCACGATTGTAACTTCCCCTTGAGCGTATAAAAACAACTATTTCTCTCAAAGCAGTCATTATTACTATACTATCGTACCTAGCTCAGGGTATTTTTTCTTCAATTTACAGTGTGCCCAAAGCTCCCATGCCGATGACCGATATTTAGGAACTATCATAATGATTCTTACCTTAGTCCATTGAAGTGTGTTACCAAAGATAGGAACTGATCGAGGAGATTTTAAACCATGTCTCGTCCAGTATGAACGAATCCATAGATCGTTGCTGTGATCAAAGAAAATGAAGTAAAGGCTTTTAGCAGTTCTTGCTGTAACATGTGATGTAATCATTATATGTCGCCTCATTATGTCAATCATTAACAGTACAGAGTCAGACCTAAATGAAATCTAACCTTAACAGACAGTTACTCTGAGACTAAATAGAAAACGGAAAAACAGAGAAGCAGACTGGTGAATATTTTCATTAAATCTGACAAAAATAAGAAAGCAATGCAATTTTGAAAGTTGTAATCACTATACGTAACTGCATTGGCTGAATCGGTAATGTCACTGTTACGAAGTTAAAATATACGTTAAAATATGTTTTCAAAATGCATGAGTCAGGAAGTTCTTTCCTTTTTTAGAGGACATATAATAATATGTTATCCATAATATATTTTGAGTAGTGCCCCAAAGAAGAAGGCACTTGAGAGAAAAAGAGAATTAATGAAGTCGAGATCGAGTTGTCCCATGACTGTATCACAATCCACTCACCAAAATGTCAAATTGAGATTCGCATGGTTTTACTGATCTCATATTGCAAACATTCATAACTCCCTCAATTCTTGCCTTTCTGTTTTTTGTTTTTTCTGCTTCCATGGCAATGAAGTTATTACAAAGGTTAAGGATAATAAAGTTAGAATTCAAGGAACTAGGATAGCCAAATTATCAGGTAAAGGACTAGACATTAGACCTTTACGCCCATGGTGGTGCAACGATAGACGCTATGAATATTAACTATCATTTAATTAGATTTGGAGCGTGTCTTTATATAAGTAGTATGCAGAAGATCTTTCAATCGAATTTAAACATTGCTTGATCGAACAATATCTTTGAGGAAAAGAACGGAGACTGAAAATCGCAGTAAAAAATCTTCATGAAATAAGATCAGGCAAACATTGTCTAATGTGTCCTAAAAGGCATGTGCATAACATGGGAAATATTAGAACAATAAGAAAATACGATGCGAGCGAAGATAATGAAAAGGAAAAAGGATAGGGAAAAGGAAAAAGAGACCTTATATGAAACTCCATTTATGGTTACCAAAGTCTACCGTGTAAAGATTTTGGTGGACGTTCAGGAGTGAAGGGGGGAAAGATGTCTGGGCCAGTTGTTAGCTAAAATTTTAATTTACTAGTTGATTTAATTTATACAGTGGAAGAAGTTTATCAGTTATAAATGGAGGTATCCTGCTATTCGGTACCTAAATCAAATAACGACCCCTCCCCCCCAAAAAAAAGAGAATGCGAATTTGATTTTGTGGTATTATCTTAGCGAATACATGACTTCAAAAGTTTCTTTTTTTCGTAATAGCATCGTATTATAGAGTTAATTAAAAATAATGAGACTAAAAAATTCGTTTGATCCTCCCATCGTCACACAATCAACATAAAATTCCAATTTGAGAATGAAATTAACAAAATTAATTAAGGGTAGAAACGGGGGGAAAATGTACCTCTAAATAACTTGTGACCTACTGAGGTGTTTTTCAATGAAAAAAACACTACATAATTATACGGAATACAGTTACGGCTGACACTTACCAAATGTAGATAATGAATACGGCGCCGACAAGGAACCATGTCAGAGAAAAGCTGAAGCCAAGAAAATTGATCTCCATGATGTATGCAATCGAGAGTGTAATCACAAGACTGACGCTTTTTAAAAGGGAACTCGCACTTTTATAGAAAACCGTGAGATCAGAATTAAATGCTTTGTCATGGAACTTTGTTCAATGTTAACCCAGAGAAAGGTCCCTGGATATTTATGTCAACTTAAATTATCATGCAATATTTCACGAATTAATATTACTCTTTTTTGTTAATACTTCAAACAACGGACAAGTCTTACACATTCTAGACAACATGGACTCTCACCCTCTTCATGTATACGTTTTATTTGAACGACCAGGCAAATTAAATAAATAGATTGTGATCATGGCAGTAGGCGTATCGGCATAATTATTTAGGGCTTATGCCGAAAGGGTGGGTAGCGTCGCGTCGCGGCCCGTTGACTTGAACGCGACCATTCGTCCAAAGCCCCCCCCCCCCTGTTTGGCCGAAAGGGTGCGTTGGGAGTGTCGTGTCGCGTCGAACGCGACAATTCGTCCAAAGCCCCCCCCCCCCCGGTTTGGCCGAAAGGGTGCGTTGACTAGTCTTCCACATTAGTCGTTTGTAATAGAATATAAGGAATAGAAATTTAAGTCGTTTAAATTCAAATAATCAAGATAGAAACAGATTAAAACTTTAATTAAACTATTTTGTCGTAGGGGGCTTTTCTCGAAGGGTGCGTTGACTAGTCTTCCTCATCAGCCATTTAAATAGAATTTAAGGGCTAGAAATTTTTCGTTTAAATTGACTTATTCAAAATAGAAACAGATTAGCAATTAAATAAAACTAGTCAGTTTGCGTAGTCTTGCAGATCAGGCGTTTATAAGAATTACATAAATTATTAATGAATTCAATGAATATTTTAAAAAGGCCAAATGAAAATAATATTCATTTCTTTCTATGTATAGTTTTCTTTTTTGATGTAAACTAGTCATGCTTAACAGTCGTTACAGTCAAATGAAATAAAAAATAAATAAATATATAAATAACTGAGTAGGCCTACCACCTTTTCGGGATAAGCGGGCGGGGGATGGGGGGGGGGGGGGACTTTCTGAATTCCATACATAGAAAGAAATGGTATTATTTTTCGTTATTTTAATGAATAACGACTGATATACAAGACTAGGTTTTATTAGACATATTTAGATATCAAAGTAAATTATTTGATTGTGTTTCTTGTTATTTATTGATTTAATTCTTATAAACGCCTGATCTGCAAGACTACGTAAAACTAGTTTTATCTAATTTTTAATCTATTTCTATTTTGATTAATTGAATTTAAACGACTGACTTCTATTCCTTAAATTCTATTATAAACGACTGATGTGGAAGACTAGTCAATGCATTTTTTGAAATAACCGGGTCTGGAGTAAAGACTGCGCGCTATACCCATGCTTTATTACAGGGTTTTAGTTTTGAACAAATTCGACAAATTATCACTTCAAATTTATTACATTTGTAAGTAAAGTGGCTATTAATTTGTGGGTAAAGTGTTATTACATTTGTGGGTGTTATTACATTTGTGGGTAAAGTGTTATTACATTTGTGGGCGTTATTACATTTGTGGGTGTAACACCCCCATTTGTGGTTGATTCAAAATTATTACATTTGTGGGTAAAGTGGTTATTACGTTTGTGGGTGAAATTATTACATTTGTGGGTAAAGTATTATTACATTTGTGGGTGTTATTACATTTGTGGGTAAAGTGTTATTACATTTGTAGGCGTTATTACATTTGTGGGTGTAACACCCCCTCCCCCCTAAAAAAAAAAAAAAAAAAAAAAAAAAAACGTTTTGTCATGATAATGCGCTCAACGTGAACCCAGAAAAAGGTCCTGTCAACATTATCAAGCAAACAATTCACGAATTAATATTTACTTCTTTTTTTAAATACTTTAAAAAGCAGACAAGTCCTAACAAATATAGATAACATGGACTCTCACCCTCTTCATGTATGTGTTTGATATCTGCGATAAGGCAATTTAGATAAATGAGATTGTGATTATGGCTGTAGGCGTCGCGGCATATTTATTCAGCCAGGGGCTGACGTTCCATTGCCATTTAGTGTTTTAATCATAAAAATGCTTTGTCATAGAAATATGTTCAATGTGAACCCAGAAAAAGGTCCTGTCAACATTATCAAGCAAACATTTCACGTATTAATATTTACTCCTTTTTGTAATACTTTTAAATATGGACTCTCATCCTCGTCACTCCAGGAAGTGCCTGAAATGCGTCTAACGTGGTTCTAAAAGTGCAAATAATTCCTACTCTGGGAGGGGGTCAGAACCGCTAGAGCCTCGCTCTGTCGCTTCATCGTTTTACATATTTTTCACCCCATGTCATTTTGTGCCCTCTCCCCGTAAGAAATTCCTGGATCCGCCACGGATGCCCATACCCATCGAGGTTCGGGGCTTTGCCTCTACACCCCACTTAGAAAAACGTTCAACGGGGCCTGCATGTAAGAGTGGGGTGATGCGGAGTTTTTTTTTGTCAGCCCCTCCCCCCCCCCAAAAAAAAAAAAAAAACGTTTTGTCATGATAATGCGCTCAACGTGAACCCAGAAAAAGGTCCTGTCAACATTATCAAGCAAACAATTCACGAATTAATATTTACTCCTTTTTGTAATACTTTAAAAAGCAGACAAGTCTTAACAATTATAGATAACATGGACTCTCACCCTCTTCATGTATATGTTTATTATCAACGAGTAGGCAATTGAAATAATTGAAGATGTGGACATGGCGGTAGGCGTATAACGGCTTATTTATTCAGACAGGGGCTGACGTTCCGTTGCCATTTAAAAAAAAATCTTGAGCAACCAAAATTCTATAGGACTTTAAAATAGAATTTCGTCATGGAAGTATGATACTATAAACGGACTGAATTGTTGAAGAAACCATTATTCTCGAGCTTTAACAAATCATGGTAGAATATGCTCGATGAAAATTATATAATCAAATGATGCGAGTACAAAATGCCCCACTGCACTTCTTACAGCTAATTGTGTCCTCTATATAGCAAACAATGCCTAATCGGTACCTGTTGGTCCCCCATGATCCCCTTTTTCTCATGTTAATTGAGAGCTGATTTGATTAGATGACCACCCACTGACCTCGCAGGGAGGTCTACTCCCCACTGGACAAACTAGTGCAGACGGGCTTTAAATCAAAATTGACATTTGCTAGAATGACGATAAGCGTTGTATTCAGTATAAAACTAAATATGCTGCTTGCACGCCGTGAAAGTATATACTGTATAATATTCATCATCATCCATCATCAAATCTATTAGGGGCCTACTTGACTAAACGTTATCACGGATTTCATCATCATCATCATTTTCGTCAGTCCCAACACTGGTACGATACCATAATCGCTATTATTTCTATAATCATCATCGTCATTGTCATCATAATCCTTCTTAAAATGACCTTCTTAAGTCATTGCCATCGTCACCGGTTACGTAATCATTGTCATTATCACTAATCATTAACATTATCAGTAATGCCACCATCATAATTTCGTAATTCTCGTCAAAATTCTCACCGTGATCGATATATCCACGGAATACATAATCATCATCACCAACAACATGGTTACAAAGTATTGGATGATTGAGAGGTGTTTAGCGTGATAACAAATGTAACTTTTTAATATTAGAATCAGACCTTCAGTCGGCTTCCACGAAGAGTATATTTAAACAAAATATCTTATATATTTCACTAAGATTTACATTAAACCGAGTATAAAGAAAGTTTTAAAATTGCCTCTCGGCCTTCGTACAATATACTACACGGTTTATTATTTTGCATAACAAATAGAATTTTATGACAATTCAATGAAAAAAGGGAACAATTGTTAAAGATGCGATCTACAAGACTATGGCGTTGTAAGATCGGCCTTTCGTGAAGTAGCTTTCTCGCATGAGAGAGAAATGAAGGAATATGAGGATGCGTATGCAAAAATCAGTGACACAATTTGTTTGCAATCAGTTTTCACGTCACAATCTACAACTTGCTATTCTCTATACATATGCATAATTGACTTTGCAATATAAAGTCTTGAAGAGGAACCTGTAAAGTAATGTTGATGAAGCGCGTATAGATTGTTTAATTAACGATTTATTTGTATCTTTTGAAGAAAAAATTTAATTGTACAAATAAAGATTTCTAATTTACTACTTTAATATAAGATTCATCTTATCACGAGATGATGAACAAAACGTTCCAATACAGAGTAATGTCATAGAAGCCGGTTGAACAGGTTACTTGCTCTAAACAAAAGAGCTTTCGCATGAGGTTCCCCGCGAAATCATTCAAGCAACGGGTTAGAGTAGGGCAATTCATTGTTTGAGGCTGATGTGATCACTGCAACTTTGTTTAGCAGAACATTATCTTAATAGACCCAGCAACCGTGACAACGTGGCCAGAATGACGTCACATTTGGTACTCTGTCGTACCTGGTACCATATGTACACATCAGTCGAAATCAGGCGCGTACGCAGGGGGGGGGGTGTTTTGGGGGGTTAAACCCCCCCCTTTGGTATTTTTATGTGTATAAACCCCCCTAAACCCCCCCCCCTTTGGTAGTTTTTTTAATTTAATACTTTTAAATATGGACTCTCATCCTCGTCACTCCAGGAATTGCCTGAAATGCGTCTAACGTGGTTCTAAAAGTGCAAATGCTTCCTACTCTGGGAGGGGGTCAGAATTGCTAGAGCCTCGCTCTGTCGCTTCATCGTTTTACATATTTTTCACCCCATGTCATTTTGTGCCCTCCCCCCGGTAAGAAATTCCTGGATCCGCCACGGATGCCCATACCCATCGAGGTTCGGGGGCTTTGCCTCTAGACCCCACTTAGAAAAACGTTCAACGGGGCCTGCATGTAAATGTGGGGTGATGCGGACTTTTTTTTTGTCAGCCCCTCCCCCCCCCCAAAAAAAAACAACAACAACACCGTTTTGTCATGATAATGCGCTCAACGTGAACCCAGAAAAAGGTCCTGTCAACATTATCAAGCAAACAATTCACGAATGAATATTTACTCCTTTTTGTAATACTTTAAAAAGCAGACAAGTCCTAAAAATTATA